TGTGGTGGTGCATGCCTATAATCCCAGCTACTCGGGAGGCTGAGGCAGGAGAATCGCCTGAACCCGGGAGGCAGAGGTTGCGTTGAGCCGAGATTGGCCATTGCACTCCAGCCTGGGCAACAAGAGCAAAACTTGGGCTCAAAAAAAAGGTGGGTGGGGTGGGCGAGAGCTTTATGGCAAAAGAATTGCTGCAGAGACTGTTAAGGACATGTTAACAGAGTCCTTAACATGCCCCAGGACTCTGTTAAGCTAGAGGAGAGGACAAATGTGAACACGGGATATTAATCCAGTGGGGGCACAGAGGGGTCTTTCCTGCCAGGAGCATTCACTTCTGAGCCTCCGCCCCTCAGTCTGCCCTGATGCCAAGTCCTCCCACGTGCCTGGCACCCTCCCATCCCTCCCTCCAGTGGCCCCCTTGGGATTCTGTGAGCTGGGCAGCACTGAGCCTGTCTCCACTCACTCTGCCCTTCTGTTCTCCCTGAATCCACTGCTTCCATTTCTCTCCTGTACTGAGGAGGTGGGCAGGATTTTCAGTTATTCTCAGGCAAGTAGCAGAGAGTTAACAAGGGCCCACACTGTGCCTGGCAGTGGAGTTGGGTTCAGGAAGCCCAAAGATGCCAGAGCTCCTGCCTCCCAGGGAGGCAGAGTCCAGGGGTACAGTTGGATGCAGGAGGTGGTGGGAACACGGGATGTTTGTGCAACTAGAGAGGCAACCCGCTCAAATGCCAGCCCCACCCCCCGGGCCCAGGATCAGCCTCCTGTGGCCTCCAACCACATGGAGTCCAGCAAAGTGAAATTAACAAGGTCATTCTGTATCTGTATGTCTTGAAAAAGAGTGAGGGTCCTATTCACAATCCCGGGCACAAGCGTCACTATCTCTCATGCTCTCAGCCTCGTGCTTTCAAGCCCTCACTTGTTTCCATGAAACAGGCCCTAAGCATCTCTCTCCTCTCCCCTATCATCCAGCCTCACGGCCTCCTGCTTCCTTCCACAGGCCATGCCAGGCGGCCTCTAGTCAGAGGCCCCAGCATCTGCCCCACGCCCCTGCCTCTTCATCCATCTCAGGACACGCAGCTTGTTGCTCAGGTTACGGAGATGCTACTGACACATTTCATGAACTCCAAAATGACTGTAATTTATGATTTAAAAAGAATATCCTAAGGCTGGCTGTGGTGGCTTATGCCTGTAATCCCAGCACTTTGGGAGGCCAAGGTGGGTGGATCACAAAGTCAGGAGATCAAGACCATCCTGGCGAACATGGTGAAACTCCGTCTCTATTAAAAATACAAAAAATTAGCTGGATGTGGTGGTATGTGCCCGTAGTCCCAGCTACTTGGGAGGCCGAGACAGGAGAAATGCTTGAACCCAGGAGGTGGAGGTTGCAGTGTGCAGAGATCACGCCACTGCACTCCAGCCTGGGCAACAATAACAACAAAAGAATATTCTAAGTCATAATGATTATAATCCCCTTACATCTGTATCATTTCACACCTTACCAAGTCCTTACACATCTTTTCCTCCTTCCACGCTCCTTGGAGGAGCTCTTACCAGTGTCTGAAACTGGGGAAGGTGGTGGCCTTGTCTGTCCAAGATTGCCAGGTAGGGGGCAGGATGTGGACTCAAAGCCAGGCCTCCGTCTCAGGTGTGAGGCTGTCTCCACTACACCACCTGCTTGCTGGGAAATTCTGCTCCCTGCCAACCTCCAGATTTAGCCCAGCCCCCGGGCCTCCCATACTAAGATCAACCAGGAAGTGATAAAATTAGCAGAGGTTTGGCCTCTAGTCAAAGCAGTTGCCAAGTCACGGCTGCACTTACTACCTTAACCTCCAAACTCCTGGTGTGCTCTGGGTTGGGGCCGTGAACCGATGCGTCATGCCTGGACTTGATGAAACGCTGTTGAAGGAGAGGCTGCAGTCCCTTTGGTTTGACACACACAAAGCTCTTCAACAAGCCTGCACGCTTCCCAAAGGCCATTATCATTTGTAGGGTGGACTTTGTGTATACACAAAAGATGACAGTATGTGAGACATGAAAGCAGGGTCTAGAGCTGCTATTATTAGATCACTGTTATTTGGAGAACTGGAGCATCCACAGGGAAAGTTGAAGACCCAGAGCCGACTCAGCCTAGACGATGTTTTCTTATGGGTGACATCTGCCCTGGCCAGCCAGGAGCTGTAAGATGGCCAGGCTGACACTCACCTGGAACTGGGGAGAAGGGGTATGGTTTAAAATATATAGTATTCATTGGCTGGACACGGTGGCTCCCAGCACTTTGGGAGGCTGAGGTGGCCAGATCATGAGGTCAGGAGTTTGAGATCATCCTGGCCAACATGGTAAAACCCCATCTCTACTAAAAATACAAAAATTAGCTGGGTGTGGTGGCACGTGCCTGTAATCCTACCTACTCGGGAGGCTGAGGCAGGAGAATCACTTGAACCAGGGAGTTGGAGGTTGCAGTGAGCCTAGACCATGCCACTGCACTCTAGGCTGGCAACAGAGTGACACTCCATCTCAAAAAAAAAAAGAAATGTATAGCATTTATTATCTTATTATAAAAGTAATTAATATTCAACGTAGAAAATACAGAAATATAGATGAAGAAAAGCACCTTAATCTTAGTACCCAGAAATGTTATCTTTTCAGATTTCCATTCTCCTCATAGGTACAGGCATATTCTCAAAAGTGGAAGTTTCCATGAAGCAAGTTAAACACAGCACAAGGAACTAACCATCCTTGCATGACACGGACTGAAACAGGACCCCAGTCATGGCAATGGTGAGGCACAGCCACCCCGGCTGCTCTGTCGGTGGCCTGGGGTGCCTGTGGAGTGCTATTCTGCTGCTCACCGTTGGGTTGGAAGGTCAAGGCCACTGGTGATAGAGGGGAAGCTCCTGAGAGGTGAACTCAAAAGCAAATGAAGGATGTTGTTTGGCTTTTGCCTGTTTTTTTTTTTTTTCCCTTACAATAACAAAATGCATACATAGCTATAGAAACATTTTAATTATGAAAATTATTGCAGAAAAATACCTTTATTATTGTGAGTCTAAAATTCTTTAGCCTTTAACTCACTTTTTCCCATTGAAATAATTTTTTTTATTGTGGTGTTTGATATACCTATGTTTTTAGAATTTGGAATATAGATTCTTTTTTTATACATACATGCGTGTAGGTATACATCTATAAATACATATATGTGTGTGTACACTGATATATATACACATTTATATATGTAATTTAAACATAAAATTAGGATCGTGGGAATCATATACTCTTAGATTTTGCATTCTTTACTTAGTAACACATTATAAGCATTTTCTGAGGCATTACATTTTTTTTTTACATTATTCTTCATATAATGCCTAAAGTATTATGTGAATGAAGCATGTATTATTCATCTACTCACCTATTCCACTTTTTTTTTTTTTGGAGATGGAGTTTCATTCTTGTTGCCCAGGCTGGAGTGCAATGGCGTGGTCTCATCTCACTCAACCTCTACCTCCTGGGTTCAAGCAACTCTCCTGCCTCAGCCTCCGTAGTAGCTGCGATTACAGGTGTCCACCATCATGCCCAGCTATTTTTTGTATTTTTAGTACAGATGGGGTTTCATCATGTTGGCCATGCTGGTCTCAAACTCCTGACCTCATGTGATCCACCCGCCTCAGCCTCCCAAAGTGCTGGGATTACAGGTGTGAGCCATGGTGCCTGGCCACTTTTTTTTTTTTTTAAGACAGAGTCTTGCTCTGTTGCCCAGGTTGGAATGTTGTGGCGCAGTCTCAGCTCACTGCAGCCTCTGCCTCCTGGGTTCAAGTGATCCTCCCAGCTCAGCCTCCTGAGTAGCTGGGACTACAGTTGTGCACCACCACGCCCGGCTAATTTTTGTATTTTTGTAGAGACGGGGTTTTGCCATGTTGCCCAGGCTGGTCTTGAACTCCTGAGCTTGAGAGATCTGCCGGCCTCAGCCTCCCAAAGTGCTGGGATTACACGCATGAGCCACCATGCCCAGCCTCTCTTCTACATTTTAAGTTGCTTCCAGTTTTTTTCTACTATAAAAAATGCTCTGACAAACCTATGACTCTGTCCATGTCTCTCATATTTTCTTACAATCGACTTTAGAAATAGGATGACTTTCATGAAGTTTTCATATTATCAATAGTGTAATAAATCCCCCAATATAATGGCTGGCACACAGCAGGCATTCAATAATTGTTCGCCACAAATAGGAAATCAAGTAAGAGAACTGACGAATTCTGTGATTGCAGAGGGTTAGGAGAGAAGTGTGCTCCACCTCTTCAGGCATGATGTAACCGGACAGTCTAGGGTAAGAGGGATGAGAAGAAATGGTGTTGATTTTGCTCCCAGGTGCAGATGGACCTGCCAATACCCAGAACAAAATGATTCTTTGCTTTGACCCAAGCATGCCAATACTACCTTCCCTGATGCCCTCTTGGAAATGCCCTCTCCTTGATCCTTGGAGACCTCCTGTAAGCCCTTACCTTCATCACAGGAGGTGGGGATAGGGAGTTAAATGGCATTGATTACACACTTGATTCAGAGCCTTCATGTAGCTGGAAACTGACCAGAGAACAAACAACATGAATCATTGTGTTCTCAAAAATTATTTATTAGCTATTCTCACTCATGGGAAAAAGATATAAAAAGGTAAATGAAATTGAAACAAAATAAGATGAAAATCCCACAGCATTTCTCCAAGGACCTCAGCTAGATGATACAAAATGGACCACTAGGGCTTTCGTGTTTACAGATTACTTACAGGAGGACCCATCAAAAGAAACGACACTTTAATTTCTACCGAGGTCTGTGGTCTAATGTGGTACAGTAAGAAGGGATTTTTTTAAACAAATAAACTAGAATGCTTACTAGCCCATGAGTGACATCTCTTCTAAGCCCACATGGTCAAACCTGTGAACTGAACGGCTGGGCTCCTTTTTGGTTTCTGGTTGTTTTTCGTTTTTGTTTTTGTTTTTGTTTTGAGCTGAGGGTCTGTTGTCCAGGCTGGAGTGCAGTGGTGTTGATCACAGCTCACTGAGGTGACCTCTTGGGCTCGAGCCATCCTCCCACTTCAGCCTTCCAAGAAGTCGGGACTACAGGCACAAGCCGCCACACCTGGCTGATTTTTAATTTTTGTTTGTAGCAGTGAGGGTCTCACAGTATTTCCCAGGCTGATCTCGACTTCCTGGGCTCAAGCAATCCTCCTACCTCGATCTCCCAAAGTGTTGGGATTACAGGTGTGACCCCTGTGCGTGGCCTGGGCTCTTTTTTGGAATGAGTCTTCCCAGTCCAGATGATTCTCCTGCATGTCCTTGTGGTGGCCAATCTCTGTTCTTTGATGACGGGTTGCTTTCAGATAGTCTCACCTGGAGCTGGTTGAATAAAGGATAATGGGGTTCTGGGATGTAGCCGGGAGATAAAAGCTGTGAGTGCTCTAATAATGAGGTAAGTTTTCTTATGCAGGCCCCGGTTGGTCCTGAAGTCCTTCCCTAAAGAGGTGATCTCAAAACCTATGCCAAGTGACGTGAGCGTCAGGAGAATACGCGCACAGCCTTCCAGGGTGAATGTGTGATGGGCCGGCATTGTTTGGACGCTTAAATACTGGGCTGGTCGTTAAAACCTTGGCTTACCTTACCCCTCTGGGGCTCGATGGGTGCTAAAGCAGTATCGTTTGTACTTTCTCAAACAATGGAAGCCTGTCAACATAAAGTTATAAGTCCAAGAAAGGTCGGGTCTTAAAGGAGTTCCATTCTTCAGAGGCAGACAGCAAGGGGCAGCCTTTCCTCCCCTTCCTTCTCTTCGGCTGCTTGCTTCCTGGCCCAATGGAAGATGCCCATGCATTTGTCCTTCATGTCACCTGCTCCCTGGAGGAATAAGGTCTCCAGCACCAGCAGCGCACAGGCCAGTCCTCAGCGGGTGGCCTCAGCACAGTGACCCACCCAGCAGGAGGGTTCAGCACCTTGATCTCAGGACGTCCTGGAGCGTCTCTCTAGCGGGTCAGACACTGCCCACGGGTCTGGCCCAAGGAGCCCCGTCCTTCCCCCAGATCGGGAGGCCCCGAGGGCAGAGCAGGGGGTGCACCTAGTCCTCCGGGATGGGGGTGTTGCAGTTCCCATGGTAGATCTTGACGTGGCCTTCACACCGGAAATAGGCCTCGAAGACGTCACTGTAGCCATGGTCCCTCCACCAGGTACACAGCTGCCGGTTCCAGGTACAGTCCAGCACATGGAACAGCTTGGGGTGCTCCATGCCGATCATGGTGAAGAAGTCCTGGTCCCCGAGGTGGCCGCGGAAGTGGTACTTGTCGGCCAGCTGCTGCACCCGCGCAGGCTCCAGCAGGCGGCTGTAGAGCAGGGACTGGCGCATGGCCTCCAGGTTCAGCAGCATCACCCCGCTGTTGAAGCCCGGCAGCCCCTCGGGGGGCGGGCCCCCAACCCTGGTCTGGGGGTTCTCATGGCGGAACTGCCAGAACGTGTGCCTGTGTAGAGAGAAAACAGTCAGCCTGCTGTGCGGGGGTGAACCAACCGGCAGGTGTTCACAGCAAGCCCGCATGCAAACACTGTGACGTGTAGAATCCACATCAGACTGCCAGCAAGTGGCAGAGCTGGGACCTGAACCTGGGGCCCTGGACCCCAAGCCCCAGATTCTTTCTAGCATCTTCTGCTACATCCTCATCACAGCCAACTTTGGAATTGACTGATGATGTCCCAGGCGCCACGCTAGACCGGCCTACTTACTCCCCACACAACCCCAAGGCATGGGTGCTCTGAGATGATACATCATTTCACAGCCAAGAAGACCGATGCTCAGAGAGGTCAAGGTGTTTGCCCAAAGTCACACACTGAGTAAGCAGCAGAAGCAGGGACTACACCCAGACAGTCTGGCTCCAAAGTCCACATTCTTAAGATAGCAGCAACCCAGGGAGAACCTACCACCCTCTTGTCTTCATCTGTGATCTCGAAAAGGAGAAGGGAGAGAGAAGCAGGGGACGAAATCCTGCCTAGAGACCAAGTCAAGACACAGGAAGCTGAACCCAGCCTGGAACAAAACTGTTTTCTGCTTTAGAACAAGGCTCATTCATTGAGCCCCAAGCCCAGCACTTCAGAAAGGCGGGGTCGGGGCCGGGGGCCTGCGACAGCTCAGGGCACACCGAGGGTTAGGGTGACAGCCAGCTGCAGAAGAGCCAAGTAGGATGATGGCTGTTTTAGAAGGAATGTCACTTTAATTTCAATTTTTCTCTCAGCAGATTTAGAAACCAATCTAGGTTCACAGTTCATGAACTGTTAGCCTCTTCTAGGTCCTCCACCCAAATGCTTCCATCTGGAGGAGAGAAGAAAGGCCTAGACACTTCCCTGTGAGAGCCAGGGTTAGGGCACCGCCCTCTGTCCTCCAGCCTCCAAAATATCAAAGCCTGCGTGTGCTGCAAGGGGTGTGCCGGCGGAGGGGACAGGCGCCCAAGCCCTCACCCACAGAGAGGAGGCTGCAGCGACCGTGCCTGTGACCTGGAGGAAGGAGGAACATCGGGAGGCCCATTGTGGCAGGAACAGGCGTAGGAGTGGGTCCTTAGAGTGGGGGACACATCATGGCAGAACCAACTTGGCTTCCCAGCCTGGAGATGCTACCCCGCTGGTCCCATGCAGAGAGAATTCCCCACCCAATCCCAGGATAGGATCGGGGTGGTGAAGCAGAAAGCAGAGGGGGAATAAAACGAGGAGCCTGCCCAGAGTGGCTCTCAGGGACCACTGCCCAGCACCAGGTCATTGCTCTGCATCTGGGAACGAAGAAACCTTCCTCAAGGTCTCACGTATCACAAAGGGTGCCACCGAGAGTTTGATCCCGCTGAGGGGACGCATTCCCTTAGACATTCTTACAGGGGGAATTCACAGGTTCAGTCTGTCTTTTGCTGTGACTGGTCTGTGAGTGAAACCAAGCTCTGGTCCCTGCCTGGTGATAACAGCCTTGGCAAAAATAAGCTTCTCACGCAAACCGAGATGCTGTCATCTTGCCACAAAAGCCTGCGGTGATGGGGCCACACAGGGTGGGGACGCAGAGTGGCAGCTGTGTGTTCATTTTACCCAGCTTCTTCCAAGTGGTTCATTTCAGGACCAGGTTATAAACCAGCTAAAATTCCACCAGGCAGACCAGGACACCACGACGTCATAGAGGAGGGACCCTCTGACAAGGGACAGCGGGTACTTTACCACCAAGGAGCTCGATTTACCCTTCAAGGGGTGGGAATGGAAGCGTTTACCAAGGTGCAGCAGAGACCCAAAAGGAGGGAGGACACAAGTGGCAGGCAGGCAGAACCCATGCCAGCCGAGGTACTGGACCACCTCATGCTCCATGGAGCCCACGCGTCCATATTGCTCCCCAGAGGACCCAGGAGGGAGGGGACTCGCCCGGATGCTTGTGCGACCCACGCAGTCTCCTGTGTCCACAGCACCTCACAGCAGGACCACAGGAAAGATCACAGGGCTGACAAGGAACGATGGAAAGGCCGGTACGGGGCGGACTGTGTAGCTGTCAACAGTGGGTGGAAGCAAGGGCAGGACACGACACAACGCTGCTGCTGCTGCACCTGCCCTTTCACTGAGCCACCCACCTCCCTGCCAGAGCTACTGTGGGGTTGAGTGAGGAGCAGGAACCATGGAGAGGATGCTCAGATGTCTTCAACAGCCTCTATTCTCTAGCAAATTGGGGAGCAAAGAGGCTGCCCACAGCCGTGGGTATCCTTACCAACCTCAGCAGAAAGGCTCCCAAATCTTCCACGCCTGCAGCAAGGATCAGCAAACAGTGACCCAGCACTGAGCTTGCCGAGCACAGGATATGGGGACCAGAGGCAGAGGGAAGAGGAAGGAATACGCCTCCAGGAGAAGGCCATGGCACAAGTGGCTCTTTGGGGACAATGCCCAGCACCACTGCTCCATCAAGATGAAGCAATATTTGATCATAAAGAGCCAGGAAGGACTGGTCTGGGTGTCAGCCTGAGAAGCAAAGGAGGGGCAGAAAGTGGGGCATGGAAGCGGCCCAGCGTGTCTGCTGGAGCAGAAACACAGCCTCAAGAGGAACAATGACCATCTCAACACAAAATGATGTCAGGGGGCCCTTGTTCAAGGCGTCCCCGCTATCCCAAAACGAACCCAGAAAACCAGAGCAGTCACCTAGGAAAATGGCATGCTTCTCTGGCCTCTGTGTCTGCTGGTTCTCGTAGTGGAATCGCATCAGCCTTGGGGTAGGAGTGATCCGGGGTGTGGGGAGTACCAGAGCTCAGACAAGGAACTTCGATCCCACAGTCAAATGGCCTGAACAGGTAGAGTCGCCAGGCCCTCAATGCAGCAGCACAGTGGGGGTCACAGAGCCCTCTGACACTCTCCACCTCGGCTCCCTCTCCCTGGCAGCCCAGGGCATCGTTGCCTGCATTTTCACAGAAAGGGAACAGAGAGCCTCAGTTTGTCACAGGTGGGACTTCTGATCTCTGAGGTCCCTTTTATCTGACTGCCTCAGATTCCATGGGCTAGGGTTCCACGGAGCTGCACTTGGATTTCAATCTTATTTCTGAATATGGGTGGCATATGCCAAAACCAGAGCACGGGGGACAGGGTGATTGAGTCATGCTGCCGCTGCTGGAACGTTGGTAATTTGGGGGTCAAACCTGAGGCCTCTTCCAGGCAGGGCAGTGAGTGTCCCAGACCCCTGCCCCTTCTTCACAGGGGCCTGGTGCTGATGACATATACTCAGGGGCACCACCAGTGGCATGTGCAGAGGCTGCAGGAAACCTCTGTATAAATGCAGCTATTTGGGTCTGAGTCCTGGAGCATCCAGAAGTTTCTCTGACTAACCTCCCATGCCCACAACCAGCCACTTTACTCTGATTGTCTGGGTTGGTCTAATTGTCTGACTGCCTGGCCTGTGGAGAGTCTTGTCCCATCTTCCATAGTCACCCAGAGACCTGTGGTAGAGGGGGTAAGTCTTTTATCCCAACTGCAAAACAAGCCCCCATGCAGACAGTCCAAGGTAAACACTGGTTCTTTCTCAAAGTCAAGGAGGCCCATTGGGAACATAAAAATTAAGAACTTTTAAGAACATTCTTCCTGGGGTAAATGTAATTTTCTAAATTTTTAATATTGAATATAACTTAAGAATCATAAAAAAGAATATTACAAGCCAGTGAACTCATTTTCAGGACTAAAGCCCACCTTGATGGAGAAGAGTATCTGAAGTAATTTGGAAAAGCAAAGTTCCTTCCTCGCTTCGAATCTTTCCCTGATGATCACAACCAAGGCCGCTCTGCTAGGGACTTTCTTTTTTTTTTTTTTTGAGACGGAGTTTCGCTCTTCCTACCCAGGCTGGAGTGCAATGGCGCGATCTCGGCTCACTGCAACCTCCGCCTCCTGGGTTCAGGCAATTCTCCTGCCTCAGCCTCCTGAGTAGCTGGAATTACAGGCAGGCGCCACCATGCCCAGCTAATTTTTTGTATTTTTAGTAGAGACGGGGTTTCACCATGTTGACCGGGATAGTCTCGATCTCTTGACCTCGCGATCCACCCGCCTCGGCCTCCCAAAGTGCTGGGATTACAGGCTTGAGCCACCGCGCCCGGCCTGCTAGGGACTTTCAAGAGACCTTGGCAGGAGAACCTAAAGCTCATCCTCCCCACACACGTGGCCATCAAGCCTCCCTCCTCCTCTTCCCGCTACTCCAAACCCCAGGCCCTTTTGCCTCCGGCTCTTCGTGATTTTTTTTTCTCCTACCCCTTTCTCAGCTCCTCAGGCTGAGTTTTCCACCATCTCCTCCAAGAGGCAGGAAGCGAGGACAGGAACATGCTGAGCCGTGCTGGCTCCACCAGACTCTGCAGGAAGGTTCTAGAAGCCTGTGCTGACTCAGGCGGAGTGCAAGCTGTAGGCTCTCAGGCAGAGAAGGCTCCATTTGAGGTCTGAGATTCAGCACGTGGTCTCACGTGGCACACCTCTGGAGTGTCCTTCAGGCTTGAGAGCAGTCACTGAAGGGCCAGCACCTGGGCCTCCTCCCAGAGGAAGCAGCCGGCCCTGAGGCTGTGTCGTCAGCGAAGCCCGGAACCGGGAAACGCCATTTCCCTTATACCCATGCATGTGCGCCAGGCCCAATGAGCTCTCGATTGACTTGGAAGGGACCTTGTTTTCCAGTCACCCGAGATAAGAGGCCAGGAGGGAAGAGCAACACTCGGCAGCTGCCCAGCGCTTCATCCACACCAGCCAGGTCGTCTGGGGTGACCCAGGGACATTTCAAGTCCTGCCAGGCCCAGAGGCTCTCTAAACACCCTGCGCCCTGGCTGGGTGATGCCGGCTAATTTCAGACCAATGACACTGCATCTCGGTCCTACCTGGAGCTGAGGCTGAAGTTCTGTGGGGGCAGACTCGAGCTCTTCAGTCCTTTAGGGGAACCCCTGCCCTCTTCGATCAAACTGGAGAAGATGTGGGCATTCCCGGGGTTGTAGGGCCACCA